ACAACCACACATTTTACAATATTAAAGTCTTCAATGACCCGAAAACTTTTACAAAAAAAGTTTGAAAAGGTCAACATTATATGGTCTATGAATGGTACGGAGTAAAACATGATATACACAAGGGCACGTTGCAAGCAGCACACATTATTTTTGTACGAGTTTCTTTCTTTGACATCGCGCAGTATCTACATCGCCGACGCGTTTTTAACTGTAGTGGCATATGGTCCCCAACGTTGATGATCCTCCTGAAATTTTTGGGTGGCCTCCCCATGCCGGGCTTGCGCCTGTTAGCCGTCCTTTCCCTCCCCTGCGCAATCATTTGCTGAGAAAGAGGAACAAGGAATTTGATCAGCTTCGTTTTCTCGTGATGGATTTCCTTATATATTGCACAATTCAGCCATCAAATGGGCGCTCCTGTCCTAATATTTCCTGAAACTGTGGCAGTGTCTTTGACTACGGAAGTGGTACACATCTGTCCCCCCATTAGTCAAAGGGTTAAGAGAGTGAGGTGTTGTATAGGCACACTTACACTGCTTACATATGCCGAACATCGGCTTGCGCACAGCTTACCTAGACAGCATGAAGCCATGGTGGCGATTTAGAACATTAACCATAAATCTACCGGATATATTGTATTGAAAGCTGCAATCGAGCCTTTGAACTTGAACAACTTCACACAGCAAGCCTATTTCCTCAATTAGAGCAATAATATGATTATTTTGATTGCCTGCTGTGGCGATTCTCACCTTTTCTACTGTCTAGCCGTGGCGTACAAACACTCCACTGACTGGCTGCCTGCTCTGGCGGGCCCCGAACCTCACGCGTGACTCCGCCCTATTCGCCCCCTGCTACCGTACCTAGCGTATGGCCCGCGTATAAAGCATTGAACTACTGTTTATTTTCACTTCGAACAATGTGTCGAGCTCTTCACTTGCTCAATTCTTGACATTGTATTCTTTGTGAATGATCCACTCGTATTTTTCATGAGTTCATGAAGCGCACAGCTTAAGGGGTCTCCCATGCTATATAGCACACATACGGTTTCAACCCTTAACTACATTCTGAATGTTTGAAACAATGATTCATCGTGCAACGTTTTGCCTCCAAAACAAACTACCATAATTGTAGCAATAATTTGGGGAGCCTTGTTCGAATTATGGTTGCGCAATATCAAAGGGGAATTACTTGACCTCTCACGATCACAGTGGTGGCCTCATGGAGGTGAAATTATCGAGGACATTTTTTGTGCCAGAAGATTTCGCCCGAGCATCTGCCCCATTCAGTGAGCTTCCCATCGGCGAGTAGCCTCACAATAACCGGGTATTTTCATGACTGTGCTGTTCATAGGTGATTGAAGCCTATTCCGTCTCTTCCGATTTCCGATTCTCGAGCCTATCCTTACCTCCCATAGATTGCTTCCTTTGTAATGTTCAAATTCTCACGTTCGCGCACATCAATGTGAAGGAGGTGAAGTTCTTTCTAAACTCCAATGAGCGATTGACAGTTCTTGTTAACCTGTGTCCGAAGGCCTATGCAGTGAAGCTTCCTGAAATGAACCTAAAATTTTGAGGTTCCCCACTAACGACGAGATGCTTCTTTGGCTGGAGGATACATTTTAACGGAAGGGTACTCCATCAAAATCGGGCCACTTTCTCGTAATGAACCTTTTTCTCAAATCATTTCGGTAGATTATGAAAACGAAACCAAACGGTATACCCCGACACAAAACGTTGGCAATCCGATAGGGATTTCGGTAATCTGCGACTAATCTCGCCGTGCGAGAGGATCGCTTCTGTTCGAATCAGCGGCAAAATACAAATTTCGTATGGCAATGTTTGTTGGGGTGTCACCTCTATCACTGTCGTTATGGCACCACGTATTGCGCATAATCACTTCTGGCGCTATCGCAAGACACGGGGCATTGTGATGGCAGTGCATAAGAAATCGCGTGAAACATCTCTTTTTGTAAAATCGAGACTGAGCCTTAGGCAGGAGGTTAAGGACTTCAGGGTGCATGAGCAATTCCATTTTCCCTGAATTTCTGCACCTTCCTAGGCTTAGTCCTAAAGGATGCCTCCGTAAATTGCGATAGCCCTCACTCCTACTTCCAGCCCACTTGTGTTTGCAGGTCCTTTGTACATATCCAGGATGGTTGCCATCTGGAGTTGTGGATTTACATGAGTCTTTCACTACTTTGCAAAGCGGTATCTTCGATGACCACTCTAGAAGATATAAACCAGCCAGTGAGCACCACCTCACCTCCAATTTCCAGCTTTGTCGCAAGCGCTTTCGGGATGTCTGTAGGTGAGCATACGTTTTCATTCTTGTTCTCTTGGCGGAGACCACCACCTACCGCCATTTTTTTTTGTAAAGTGGCTATAGAAAATTCAAACTCATGCTTTCACCGCTCTGCGAGGAGATTTTCTGGAAAAGTGTTTTGCTCACGGTGAGGCATCAGCAAAGGTTTTGTTGCACAGAAGCAAAAGCTGTGTGAAAAACCCGTAACAGATCAGTTTTGGAATATACCGTGATAGCAGGACCAAATCCGTCCCTGTACCCCACAGTAGTCAGAATATGATTTCATCCCATGTTCAGCTCAATGTATTTAAATTATGTTGTTTACTACATGCTTGTGTTGTTTTGTTCAGAGTAGTGTCAAATTTGTTTCTCATTCCATAGACAATGAGGGGATTTATAAGTTTTTTTTTGAGTTTTCAAGGGTGAAGTTCAAATTCGAATTGAATTCGAAGAACGTCTTCAACCGTTTGTTTGGAAGTTGGACGTTCCACAATTACAAGGATCCTGCTGGTTAAACACCGAACGCCAGAAAAATCTCCTCTATTGGGTCACCGAAAGAATGTTTCCCAACCGTGGCTCTGTTACGTGAGATCCCCTCCAACTGGCAACACGGACAATTCCGCTATAATCCGCGATCCCAATGTCGTCAGTTTGCGCTGGTTTTGTGTAGCTGTGGGCCAGAAGTTTTTGTAGTAGGGAAACCGAGCACGTGTTGTTGTGGCTGGACTGAGCGCTAACTTCTATTACGTCTAACACCCAAGTTAAGATTTTCCCAGCCGTACAGTCGGCAGTAACGATATGGCAACCTCTTATTCCACCGGAACGTCTGTGTCGGTACGGAGTCTTTAGAAGACGCTTGCTTTTCTGAAATCAAAAAGATTTGAAATTTGTGAGAAAGCAGCATCATCAAGCGCACCACTCCACATGAAACTTCTCAGTCACCGAGTACAGACAGGGCATATAAGGTCTGCACACAAGGTTGGGGCAAAAAAGACATTCTGCTCATGGTTCACATCAGTATATTTTTCATTGCAAAGGATGCTGCTGTTGATGAAGTATCACTGCAACGCAATCCTCAGATGTCCCTGTAGAAGCAAGCCCCTTGTCACTACTCTCCTCCTTTTCGCCTGCAAAATATGACGTCATCTGCCCCCGCTAAAGGAGGCCACGAATGTTCATGCCTAAAGCAGCTATCTTATTTCTCCAAACGATTCGGTACTTTGACCCCACATGACCCCTCCCTGCGTTCTAAATGAGGTTGTAGTGGGACACGATCCGCCAAGGACCCAGTTGAGCTTGAACAGTGCACCATGTCTAAATGCAGGTTCTTCTATCGTGAAAGAAAGGCTAATATGAAGTTTTGATAGACGAGAATGTATATTCCATTTTCCGGTTGGGAGCACTGGTTCGAATTCAGCAAAGGTGATCAATGCCGTTTGCATGTGTACATATGTCTTTTTTATTGACCCCAGGTATAGGAGGTACAGGAATCAAGGGTCTCACTAACCATAAGCCCATACATCACAACATCATCATTCGGCATACCCTATCGGCGTCGCTCACGCAGGAGGGTATTACGGGCTGCCTGATTGCATTCAGTGTCTCGTTGGATTTTCAAATAGGAATTTCGATTTATGTCTAGGGAATTTTGACTGACTGAGCATAGAATACAAAGGAAGAAAGGGATCATCGGTACATGTTTAGCGAAGGCACACTTGTGCAGCCCTTCGAAAGGGATTGTCATTTGACATAAGCTTCTGGACCAGATTGGAACCATGATCCATGCTTGAGGTAATGGACCCTTCTGTCCCGCTCCGTTTCGGTCTGTTTATGCGATAAGTGGTCTCTGATAACAATTCACAATAATGAGAATGTCTCACAAGAATGCTGGGTTGTGAATACAACTTTTGCCCCATACGGGACTTGAACCCGCATTTTTCGCTTACCGGCAAATGCCCCACAAGGTAAGGGTGCCGTCTGGGGCGAAAGCAGGTTCGATCCTATACTTGTCGGAAATTTTTTACAACCCCCCCCCTCCTCCCCCTTCACCACCCTTGCCATCATGATGGCTGTTTCTACGGTACTTAATCTGACAATGAGACCAGTCAACACAACTAACCCCACCCATTTTTACCTCCGAGGGGCCGGAGAGGAGGGAGATATAGGTACAGTGAAACGGCAAAATTTTTTTCGCTCCTCACACTACGCCCCCTAAACTCACCCAGCCAATTCCATGTTCTCTCACGCAACACTCCAGTTTCACATGTGAATTCATGACGCTAGAGTGACTACGACCTCCAAACTCAACAAAATAGCCCCCCCCCGTAGGTACTTGTCGCAACGTAGGACTGACCCTAGGCGAAAGTTCTGTTCACAACCCAGTATTCTTGTCTTTCACAAGGCGAACTGCAACCGAAAACAGCAGTTAGTAATAAAAAACGAGATGAGAATGTCGTTCCTCCAATAAATTGTAAGAAACGTCCCATGAGCTAATCGTTACTGAAAGATGAACCCGCTGCAATGCAGACAGCGTTAATTGGGCTCTCGACACTACTCGTAATTACCTCTCGTGTTTCACACGTGCAGCCGCGAATAAAAGGGACTTTTACGATTCGACGAGCTCTTGGAATAGGCTGTAAAGTACACTGCTTTCTGCACTAAGCACCAGAGTGAACTGTATTGCCAAAACTCATGTGTTCAGGATCATAAAATCTGTAATCGCTGATGTTGCAGAAATATGTGCGGTGTGCCACCTCGCCATACTCGAGCGGTACTTCCTCGTACTTGAGCATCGCTCCTACCATCCTCAATGCTTGCGTTGTGCTCTTTGTCATTGTGGACTATCCTATGAGCCTACTTGCTACGTAAAAGATGGACTTGTACTATGCCGTCGAGATTACACCGCGTGAGTTTCGCTGAGATTAAGAATGTGTTCATTTCCTCAAACCTCAGTTGGGCACAGTACAGTAATGTCCAAAACGGTGTATAGGAGGGGGGGGGGAAGGGAAATGCGTCTCAGTTCTCCTCTTCAGGTGGCCAGTTCACCTAAAATCAAGGTAAGACTCGAAGCAAGCCTAGGGCTAAGCCTTGGCCCAATCACAAGCTTAAACACAAGCCAATGTGTGAGCATAAAGTCAAGCCCAAGCCTAACCCAAGCATGGCTTTAGGCTTTAATGATAGCGCAGTTCTGGTGACCTGACTTAGGAGAAGAACTGAACGTCTTTGGGGTGGGGGGTTGGGAACGACTAGGCGACCTTCCCAAGGATCCTCTACAGGATGCTAACCTTTTACATGTGCAGATGACGGCAACTGACTCGACAGGTTATGGAAGTCACCCCAAGAGCAACTGGGGAAAATCAATCCCATCAGTAGGTTTTCTCCCTATGTATCGTTTCAGAAAGTTTCGAAAAACGTGCGCCAAGTGTCGATTACGACTGGAAAATGATGATGTAGTGATGAGAGCACGTGACGCCGTCTTCCATGTGCACTGCTTTTCATGTGTTGTAAGTTGCTAGAACATTCAGAACAGAGTTGCCCGTGACGTTGGAAAAAAATTGGAATTGGACGACCCCTTCTCTTAAAGCACTCTCAACAAGACTACTTTGCAACGATCAACGAAAACAAAAAAAAACGAAGGCGAAACCCTGGTTCCAAAGCCGAAAGTGGTGGGTCGAGTGGGGCAGGGGTATCCATAAGTGTTAAAGCGGGTATCCATAACAACTACAAAATCTTTCTTTCAAATTTTGTGGAAGGTTTTCAAATTCTTGAGATCTGTCTCTTCCATGACTCTTTTAATACCACCCTCATTACCCATTGGGACCCCTCCCCTAGCATCACGAATTACGACCCTCTGTTAGGGTTTTTGTTCCAACAAAGGTTGACCCTGGAGCAGAGTCCCTCTATGTATTTTGAAAAAAATCATTCAACTATTCTGACTGAATACAGGTATGCGACACTCCCCTGAATGCCGGTGACATCTTTACGATGACTGAGCGTGGCGAAATCTTCTGTCAAAGTAGGTTGAGGTCCGAAAAGTCCTTCTGTTCAGCCCTCAGAAACTCGTATTATGCTTCAGATCATCATGATTTGCCTCAACTTGAAGAGCAAAGGCTTGCTATTGATCGTAAGGAGGATTCTGACGAGCAGGAAGGTTAGTTCTGTTGTCTCTACATTTCGCCTCTCCAACATCGTTATTACACATGAATGGGACCGCCTCCTGCACTTGCGCTCGCTACCGCGACTGGCCTCATTAAAAGCTACCGTAGTCTATTGATTCTCAGCTCATCAGATGTGCACGTAGCCTTATAGCAGTATTTATAAGGGATGTTACAGAATCCACAGAGGGGGAGCAAGAAAAAGTCATTCCCCTCTTTTAAGCGGAAATTACACTTCTCTAAAATCGAACCGAATATTTTCAATTGGAAATTGAAGAGCACATCCTGATCATTTCAAAACCTGCATAACACCCTTCCACAAAGAAGACTTCGAAAGAATTTCTCACGGAAATATGGCGCACTTTTGAGCTCGACGAGCTTCTCGACGGATAATAGGCCATCAAGACGATATATAAAAAGTTGGTGTGGGGGTTCTTCATTAGCAGAGCTACAGTCTTTAAAAGCTCCCTACTAGTAAACCAATTCGAGAAATTGCGCAGTAGGAACTTCAAGCTGGAGCGAATACGGTAGGCCTCCTTGAGCTCGATGACGATGGAAGATGACGTCGTATTCTGAAGATAGTGAAGAAGGCTCTGCGTAAAACTCTCATCAACGGCTGCACCCTGGGCGATGAAAATTTTGCTGATTTGAGCCATTGCAGAGTGACTTTTGCTTGCCCTCCTCCCCTCCCCGTCTATTCTTGGAAATTATTTCACCAGTGGGGACAATTGAGGAAAGATCAAGATTGGGTCAAACTTGTATCTCGTAACTACCACACCGTAGAATTTCTGTCTTCTCAGTGAACCATTCGTTCTGTCGTGAACTGTTCAAAGAAGACTGTGCCAGCTGGGCACAGATTAGCGATTCTGCTATATGATAAACCAGGTGCAGGGCAGTGATACCACCGGATCTCAAGTTTCAAATGAAGGCACCCGCGTTAATCCATATGCAAATCATTAGTAATGAGCACCTGCAAGCACCACACCAGAAATAGGCGTGCGAGGAACAAGTGTCTGTGAACTGCGAAAACCGAGAAGAAAGGACAATCTCATCACTGCCAGTAATGTGCATGGACATGAAAACGCTCAATTTTCAAAGCCCACATAAATTCCAACATAAATTTCGCTCTACATGAATTATTGAAACCTTGGTACCACTCCAGAAGTATAAAGGCAGCTAGACAACCACGGCGGGATAATGGGGGAAGAGTTGGCAAATGATAGTGGTTGATAATGACCGATAATGTCAGTGCTAAGTGACAATTCTTATACAAAGGGACACCCAGCTGCAAGGCCAACATATTACAGTCGTGTTTGGAATGTGATCAAATAAAATTCAAACCCTTATAATGGCTTTAGCAGCAAGTAAACATGATGAAAGGCGTTGGCAGTTGCCAACCCAGAAATATTTCCTCAATAAGCGAGACTTGGCTTTGGATATGTACTGTAGCGGTCAGTAGTGGTACACAGCACCATTCCTGCAGGGTGAATAGCGGTCGAGGAAATCCTCGACAGGGGGTCGTATTTGCTCCGATGAGAGTTGGGAGGGGGTCGTAAGGGTTCATCAACGGACACAACGGTGCTGCTGCCACTTATTTGCTGTCATCATTAGTTTCACAAGTGTTGTAGTTAGCCTAATGCAAATAACATCTTACACCTGTCTGGAAGTGGAAAGTTGTTGGTTTGGTTCGTAGTGATCAGTATGGCATAGGAAGGCAACGCGTCCTGCAAAAGAATCGTAGGGAAAGGGCAGCGAGTATCTACTCTAGAATGATGTACATGCTTCGAGAACTTAGTGGAGGAACAGCATCTTGGTAGAAAGTTCAAAACAGGCAGATTCGCAGCCTTCTTGGCATCATCAGATCCTGCAACCGCAAGCTGTCATTCATCAGAACGGGTTGGAAAGGAAGCGATTTGAATAAAGGAATGACATCACTATGACCACAAGAGTTATCCTAATTAGTTAATACTGGAAATATCTTTTGGTGTGCTTAAGCAAGTCGTCACTAGGACAAAACACCTTCCCAATGACTCCGAGTGGGGTCACTGCATGGCGCATACAAGAACGGAATGGATCCGCGCCAAGTGCATCATTTTCAATTTACTCCATCGAACTGACGTGTACAGAAGTATTTTGAAGGTGTTCAAAGAAGTTCCCTACTACGGCGAGGGAGTAATAGAGTTTTCGAGTGGCTTCGAAAATTTCCTTGACATTTCCTCGACGCAGATTTCTCGCGAACTAGAAAGCGTTCGAAACAACTGGAGCACCTATCAGAAAGCGTAAATCTTCTACTTTACAACGCTTTCCTCCGATTTTCAAAGCATTGCCAATGAAGACAGCTACTGTCTTCCAAGAGTGGGAACTCGCATGTAAATTTCAATTTCCTCGACAATTTCTCGACGTCTCCCACTCTCGAGAATAGGCGTGCTTAGAAAAACGCTCAGCACAATTTAGAAACTAGAAGTCTTGTGCATTCAAAAGCTGCCTTCACTTTCTGAAATGGTTATCAATGAAGAAAGTTATAGTCCTTTAAATAGGGGGTACATTTGACGATTTTTCCAACTAGCGCGCTCTAGGCACAGCGCGCGACGCGATCGCGGGTAGTTAGCGCCGCTATACTGGAGCGCGAGACTGTTCAACTGTGTAGGGGCAGTACCTCCTTCAATGTTCTACTTTCCGGCCAATGTGGCAAAGGTTAAATGTCTTTAAAGGAAAGAAGGAGAACCTAATCTGAGCAGAATTGAATCTAGCATTTGGATCAAGCCGCATTTGCGTGGCAGCGGCGCTGCGTCCCTCTCGCACATCTGAAACTAGCATTTTTTGATATGAAACCGGATGTGCAGAGGACAAAAAGGGGTCGTATCAGAGTCCATGTTTTGGAGGGGGGTCGTAAAGAGGCGGTTATTTCCTCGACACGATTTTCACCCTGCATTCCTATGTTGAAAAGCCGCGGTAGACGCGGACCTGTGTTCTTATCGTCTTTCATTTTATCGTTATAAATTTATTGGTTTACTTTCTTCATGGAAATTTTGCCATTTAATTCAACTCGTCGAGTTCTATGAGTCTGCCTTCTTTCATTTCAGAAAACTTCATTTTTAATTCCAATGTGCCTAAGGCCACTCATAAGAGAGCGTCGCTCACTATAATTACAACCAGAGGGTAACTGTAACTCACTGGTCGACGCAGTGATTTGCAGTGCGGAATTTTCAGTTGCCCATCCTTAAAGCAACAATCCAGGAACGAATTCGCGGGTAAGGACCACCTATAATGACGTTGCAGGTGAGAAGTTGGTCAATGGAGAAAGAAAAAGTAGAAAAAACGTCGGGCAGGGGCTTAGACAGGGACTCCCCCTGCCGTTTAGGGAGACGTGTGTTGGACGAGTTGTCCGAACCTGCCCGTAGTACATGCGCTCCAATTGCAACTGCTGGCAAATAGCCATGCATGCTTGCAAATACATAACTATTTGCCAGCAATCGAAATTGAAGCGCTTCAATTGCGTTCTTATGGAATCGACCTCATACAGCGCGGCGGTCCCGCAACGACCGCTAGTCAAGCACGGACTCTGCACAGCGTATGTTGGGCGATCCGCCTCGGTATGGGTGATCCGCCCCCTCCAAGAGGACTTCGACCCCTTCCAGCGCATTTTAGAGGTAGGTTTTGAACTTAAAGACATTTCCTATAAACTTTAGTTGGGCTGGGGCATGTTTTGACCGCCTAATGACCAAGTAGTTGAAACCCTGCCTGGACTGTTGCTTTAAGCCATCCCGAGTGCGCCCTTCACAGCGATACGCGTCTGGTAGCCGCGGTTCACAGCGCCCCAGCAACACCCAAAGATCGAATTTGTGGAGTCACAGAGGTCGATGAAGGAGTTGTGGATGCCGAAATGACCAAAAATGAAAAAAAAATTCAAAGAAAGCCGTGAGTTGAAACCTTAAACAAGGATTCTCCTCGAAATAAGGGAAGGCGGGGCCATACCAGTTGTACGAATTGCGCCGCGGCTCAA